GAAAGACATGCTTGGCCTGTGTGCATGCATGCCTAAAACCCAGAAAGGAGGAAGATGCGGAGGACAAGAGATTGTGATGTGATTGCTTCCCATAGGCGAGGAGCTTTCTCATTGTCCCTCTCTCTCTGTCTTTCTCTTTCTATTACTCTCTGATAAGCATGGATGCCCTCTAGCAAAACTTTAAAAAAAGAACAAAAAGTTCAGGAAAAATAATACCCTGGTGATCACAACAGAAAGTGACTCACAATAACACAGAAGATTATAAAAAATAGAAATTGTGACATAAAATATCAGTGGGAATTAAAAAAATGAGTTAAAGCAATCAACAAAGTTGCACATCTCTGACTCATCATGTATTCTTTGGTTTGTCTATGAATTTAAAGAACACGGATCAGCTTCCATGTGCAGGTCACACGGGAGGTTCTGGGATGGGACACTGGTAAGGCTGATGCTGTTCTCAGATAGCTTGTCAACTAGGTAAGTGCACATAGACCATGGAAGTGGGATGCTGGGACTTTTGGTTAAAAAGAAAGGGGACATGACAGGTTTGTTTTTTGGTTTTGTTTTTTTTTTTCCTTCTTCCAAAACAAAGAAAAAAAATAATGAAATCTAGAGAAAATATTAGGTATAATAAAATAAATAAGCAAACAAAAAGCCTGCTGGCTGATCCCATAGCACAGTGGGTAAGCATTACGCACAGGAAGCTGGATCCCATATGGCCGACCACAGCTTGAGTCACAGCTCTGCTGACTGGCAAAACATGCCAGGCGCATGCACATGTGCCCTGGACCCTGATGAGATGGAGAAAAGGAAGAAAAAAGGATTGCAGTGTGAGCAGACTCCAGTGGGAGGTGCTTTTTCTTTCTTTCTCTGTCTCTTTTTTTTTTTTCTGGTATTAAAATAAATAGATAAATAGGCTACCATGAGTCTCAGAAATCATGAAACATATACGGACTAAATCAGGGAGGACACTGAACGTTGACAAATACCTCAAGTCTTAAGAAGGTACAAGAAGTCTCCTGCAATGGAATGTCAAGCATGTCTAAAGAGCATAAGCAATGAGCCTTTAAGAAGGACAAGATTGACCTGTTAGTCGGAATTCTGTAGAGAAGCAGCTGTACACCACAAAATAGAAGGCAAGGTGTAACTAAAAGAAAGCAGGTTGGGACCAGCAGTTGGTGTAATGGCTATGTTGCTGGACTCCCATGTAGCAGACCATGGTTCGAGTCCTGGACCTGGGGGGTTAAACTCATGCCAGGTGTGTTTGTGTGTGTGCTCAAAATCCTGAGGAGAGAAGATACTGCAGCATAGCCATCTCCCTGGGTGGTAATTTTTCACTTTCTGTCTCTCTGTCTCTCTCTGTCTTTCTGGTGAGCACACACACCCTATAGCAAAAACCTCTCCAAAAAAATAAAGGAAGAAAACACGTTGGGACCAGCAGATGGCATAATGGTTGATTGATGGACTGCTGCATAGTCAGTTCAAATCCCAGACCTGGCAACTTAAAACTCATGCCAGGTGTGTTTGTGTGTGTGCTCAAAATCCTGAGGAGAGAAGATACTGCAGCATAGCCATCTCCCTGGGTGGTAATTTTTCACTTTCTGTCTCTCTGTCTCTTTCTCTCTGGTAAGCGCATGTGCCCCATAGTACATATCTCTCTCTGAAAAAAAAAAAAAAAAGACATGTCTACACTGTGTTCCTATTTACTTCCTTTACTGTATAAGTATTGTGTTCCTTCTAGACAACGAAGACTTCCGGAGGCAATGACACTCCCTTAGAAATTCCAAGGAAGTAAAGAGTAAACATGTACATGTGCACACACATACACACACATAGATCTTGAAAATGTTCAAAGGAAATGCACATAATGAAAAAACCACACGTGGATTTCAATCTTTTCTTTTTTTGCAACAAAATATGTTTGCACTTTAAATGTGTTTTCCCACAATCTTTTAAAATCCCCTCATACATCACACACACACACATACACACACACACACACACTTGGGTCTTCTAGATTTTTTTAATGCAGAAAGTTTATGCCTTTGTACTTCATACCAGTGGAAATTTTCTTTTGGAGGACTACTCACATAGAAAGTATTTGGATTTTGTAAGGCAAGTCTAAAGAAGGAAATTTTAATAATAAGTAAAGCATTAACTCTTGTGTTAATCAATAGCATTTGAGAGATTTGTTAGACAATTTCAACCACCTGAACAGACATATATTTAATTTTTTATTAGACAAAGATGAAGGCATGACAAGAGGGATGTGACCAAATTATAATGCTCTTCTAGTTTCTGTACTGTTCTCAAGATCTAAGGGCTACTTACCCAAGAATATACAACTCAGCACACAGAAAAACAAATTTGGAAACAACGTGGTGACCTGCTAATTGGCCCTAGAGAAGCACACAGAGGCCTCTGCCAGCTATAGACCTGGTAACTATGAATAAGAACCAATGGAAGGATTCAAGAATGATTTTCAGACTTCTTACAATGGACCTTGGACCTGGGCATGTGTTAGCCCATGTCACTGGGGTTTCTCTTTTCCCCAGAAATCAGGTAGCAAACCAAGGTCTGAATTTGAATTAGGTAATACCTTTTTACTTATCCTCACAATATGAGTTATTCAAGAGTTCTCTCAATCTTTTGGCTCTACACAGTCAGAATCTATAGAGTCTCATAGGGCCATTAAAGAAACATGGTTTATGTGAAGACAATGGAAAATTAACAGACTTGTGAAGGAAGTTAAGCTACAGAGGGAATCTAACTGAAAACAATGAAAATCAATGAAGCCAGACAGAACCAAACACTAAGTGGCATTTACTTAAGTGATATTAGCTAATGGCACAGTTGGGTAAGTGAAGTATGACCTAATGCTATTTCCTTTCTGGAATTCAAAAATACTAAAATGGTTGACTCAAGGTCTATACATTTCAAGACTGGGCTGTTTAAAAATGAGTATGGGCAGCTCCCACCCCTGCTGCGCAGCCGCGCCCCGGGAACGGCCTGGTGTCCCCCCCCTCCGGGTGGGCCGGCCTCCCTGGCCTCCCTGGCCTCCCTGGCCTCTCCAGCGCTGGATGGCCC